GGAAGGAATGGAGTAGGTAGTCAATGGAAGCATCTAACCTAACAATTAGTAATTTAGGCTCAGAAAGTTTGCAGCCACAAACTTTTTGTTAAGACATTTTTAGTCTCAGAAAATAATCTATTGGTTGCATGTTAGAATTTCTTTTAGAGAAATGGTCTTTTTGAATTCTCTGGAGCCAAAAGGAAAGAAAAATTATTTGAGAAATGAATTGGGTGCTGAGTGAAACTTCTGTGCAAAGATATATCTTAAAACTTGAAATAGTCATTTCTCTTATTCTATAATGTATCTTATTTCAGCACATGAAACACTAAACGAAGTTAATAGATTGTATAAAAATACCAAGACAGGTAATAATTTACATGTTTTCTTCTGTATATAATAATCAATGTTATGTATTATAAACTTTGTGGAATGCTGACATAGAAAAGTCCATGTTCAATCAGTTCTTGTACAGATAGCTGTCCTCTAATATAAACCAGACAATGATTAGCCAACATATTTCATGATCTATATTTCTAAAGTAGAAACTATGAAAATAGATGAGCTAGGATAATACTTATTTTAAAAAATTATATTTATAGATGAGATAAGCTTTGAGGAAAGATTTGAAAGACATTTGTTTTTCTTTTTGTAGTGTATGCTTTCTAAATTTTCTTATAAAGTTAACCCATTACTTACTTGTGAAGCATGATCTACTTCAAGACTTGTGTGTTCTTGATGGCATTTAAATTTTGCTAATAGCAAGAAACAGTTGAACTACTAAAAGCACCAACAACCAATATCATACATTTGTGAAGTCTTTGCAAATCTGCCTAATCATCGTAACAACTTAGGTGGCAGAGCTGAGAGCAGATATGAGTATCCTTGTTTTACAGATAAAAAAAAATTGTGTTTCCCCCCAAATAATTGGTTGACATTGTCCTAGGAGCTCTTTGTGACTTTATTCATGATCACAATAAGTATTTAAGGAGCCAGAACATAAGAGCCATCCAAGTATGAAGGCATCCGTGTTCAGGTTAGGGAGGGGACTCCTTAGAAATAAGGAGGTATCTTCTCAGACAAGCAGAGGCAGCCTCTCCTCCAGGAGTTTCCTAAACCACTCTCCAAGCTGGAGACTTCAGTTCTGCAACTTAACCACTTTGAGAAAGATGCCCAACTCAGGCCAAACGTGTCAATTACAATGGAATTTCTGGAAAGAGTACAAGGAATTTTTCCCTGTTGAGCTTGGAGTCCTTTATGGGGAGAGGTGGAAATTAATGACATGTTAATGTAATCTAGAGTAAGAAGAATATAAAAGTAGCTTACGTGCATAACCCAAACTTCAAACTAAGGAGATGAGAGGGAAGGCAATATATCTGGTTTTATTTTGTTGTTCTATAATTAACCCAGGTTACCCCCTCCTTAATTTTTGTTTTAAGAAATGAAATACAACAGTTACAGAAATGAAATACTATGGTCACAGCTTTCTCACATTCCATTTCCATTCCTTTTTCTCCCAAGTGGGAGGACTAATATCTGGAGTTGATGTGTTTTCCCCATCCATATATTTTATTCTTTTATGATACATACGCTTTAGTATACTGTTTTGTGTGCTTTCTAAGAGTTACACAAATGGCAGGATAGTATACTTAAGACATTGAATCTTGCTTTCCCCCCTCCTTCCTTTTTCTGAGATTCAGCCTTATTAATACAAGTAAATCTGGTTTGTCCTTTTTATAAATCTCTCCAGTTTTATTGGTAATTTGAATTTCCTCTTTTGCGAAATTTCTGATCCCATCCTTTGTCTACTTTCTTTCCAGTTGGCCATTTTTTTCTTTATCAATATGTAGGTGTTTTGTTGTTGTTGTTTTTGTTCATTTGTTTGTTTGTTTTTTACTAGATATTGGATACCAATCATTTTCCCTGAGATGTAGGACAAAAAATAAATTCTAAAGACCTCTCTGGAATATGGTTTATTTAAGAGAAAATGATAAAATGGTTGTAAAGAATCTTAAGATCACAGCGTACTAAAAGGAAATGTACTTTTACTTTTCTCTATATGAAATGGGAATTTTTTCAGTGCCATTTATTGAATTACAACCATACCCACCGTTTGTAACGGCAGTTCTCTTGTTATATCAAATTCCCACAAAAGTTTACATACCTTTTCCTATTTTCTGTTCTAGTTCATTGGTCTATCTGGCCATTCATACACCAACACCATGCCATTTTTACTACTGTAGCTCTATAAGTCTTGAAATCTGTTAAGGCGCAACTGGTAGCTAGAAGAGCTAATTCTCTTTAGAGTTTATGTGTAGGTTACCCTGTTCTACAAATAACACTAATTTTATTTCTTTACAAGAATTTCTTTTTCTTGTCTTATTGGTGAGTACTTTCAGTACAGTGATGATTATAGAAGAGGTGATCCCTGTTTTGTGTTCTGATATATTTAATATTTTGACATTATTTGCTGTATTTTATTAGTTAACATTATATTAAGGAAACTTATCTATTTCTAGTTTGCTAACAGTTTTAATAATGAATGATGATTGCATTGAGCCAAATGTTTCCTGCATCTGTTAAGATATATATATCTTTGCCCTTCAGTGTCTCAATTTCATAAATTATTTAAAAAATGTTCTAAATGTTAAGCTATCCTGGTATTCCTGGGATAAGCCCTATTACATGCTATATTGAAAAATAAAAAACAACAGGTGGTGTCGAATTTAATTTGTCAGGATTTTCTTTGGGATGATTGGATATAAGTGTGTAAGTACTCGAAAATCACCCTATTATAAAGACTTTCAGTGACCATCTTTGCAAAGGGACAGCCTTTCCCCATCTATTACTCTGTTCCCTCACTCTCCATTCTTTTCTCCATACCATTTATCATCATGTGACACATAGTTATTTGTTTAATTGTTTATTGCCTATCTCCCCCAAGAGAATGCAAATTCTGTGAGAGCAGACATGTATTTTGTTCACTACTCTGCCCTAAATAACTTTGGCAGACAATTTCTTAAGAAATTAATGCATTTAATGTAAAAAGTTAGTGTATATAAATGAATTAATGTATAAGTGAATAAGTACTATTAACCTACATATTTTTTTCTTTTCTGTCATTGTCTGATTTTGTTATTAAGTTTATCCTGGCTTCATGAAATGAATTGGGTAACTATCAAATATTTTGTATAAATATATATTTATTCCCTTGGATCTATTCCCTTGGATTTGTTAATTTGCTCTCTTATGGGTAGGTCATGAGGAATAATTAGATTTCTTTAATATTACTGTTCTATTAAGTTTTTTTTTTTTAATTTTCTTCTTGAGCTATTTTTGGTAGTTTATATTTTTCTATAAAATTGTTTCTGTTGTCTACATATTCAGATTAATTGGTATATTGGTTTACTACTGCTGCTGCAACAAATCACCACAAACTTAGTGGATTCGAACAACACAAATTTATTATCTTATGGTTCTGGAGGTCAGAAATCTAAAATGAGCAAGGAGGGCCTTTTCCTGGCCCTTTTCAGCTTCTATAGATTGCCAGCATTACTTGGCTCGTGGCCCCATTTCACTCTAGCCTTCCTGCCTCCTTCTTGTAAGGACTCTTGTGATTTCCATGGACCCACCTGGATAATCCTTGATAATCTCCCCATCTCAAAAATTTTCACTGAACCACATCTGCAAAGGTCCTTTTGCCATTTTCACAGGTATTAGAAATTATAATGTGGATATCTTTTGGAGGGCCATTATTCTATCTACTATAATTGGTATCATATTTTTCATTGTATTTTATCCTGTCTCCTTCGATGTTGTTGTTGTTGTTGTTTTCATTTCAAAATGTGCTTATATCTTCCACTATCATTTTCTCCCTTAATTTGTCTGATATTTGTCTAAAAGCTATATCCTGACAACTGTGGCAGAGGTGTAGGGTTTAGCATAAACGTTGGAAAGGCATGGTCAGTCATGCTGGGAGTTCTATTTAAGTTAATATCCCCCCACCCGCACCCCAGTCATTTCCCACTACTTTATCAAATAAAGCTACTTTCATTGTGCTCTAGATGGTTCTAAGTAACCCCTGGAAGGGTGCTGCCTAACTCAGCTTTAAAGGTAATGGTATATACTGAGCATTCTCATTTTGCATCCTATTCCTCGAACTTCTCATTTCTCTCTGGTTGAAACCTCAGATCTCCCTTTCTCTCTGGTCTCAGCTCTTGAAAGTACGTGAGGAAGTGAGCGCCTCACCTTTCTACTCCCTGGGGCCCGAGGCCTGGGCATGCGCACCGCCGCAGCGGATTGGAAGAGATCACTCGGGTCTCTCTCCTCCTCCTTCTTCTCCGGGCTCCGGGACCTGTCCGGCCGGTTCCGACATCTGGGGAATTAACGTGTCCCGCCAATCCCTAGCCTCGAGCCGCGCAGGCTCTGCGCCTCCGCCCTTGTTCCTTCCCGGCTTCCAGTTCCCAGGAGTGAAAGCCGCTACAACGGGCTTGAATGAAACGTGTGTGGGATTAGTGAGTCGTAAACCACCAGGGGATCCCGTCTCCCCACAAACCAGCATCTCTCGGAGGAGGCAGAGGAGGCGAGGAGCGGAGCGCTCGGTGTCGCCCGCGCGCGAAGCGGCTGGAGCGGCGGGGAGAGGCCGGGCCACCTCCCCCTCCCCGGCCATGCACCGCCTCGCTCGCGGCGGTTCCAGGCACCACACTCTCCGCCCAGGCTGCTCCCGCTGCC